TGTAACCACATTGGGCGCGCTGGTGGGCCTGTCTGATCAAAGACCAGCAGGTCGTTAGGTAAACAGCAACACCCTTAATGACTTTACCAGCCCAGAGACTGAATAGCATGGGCCTGGTAAATGTCTTTAGGACTGTGTCCTAAAAGTGTCCTATAAAAGCATAATATTCAGTCCTTGCACCTGTGCGTATTTATGATGGAAAGAGGAGACAAGGAATGGGGCAATTTAACAGTATTGGGACACTGCCTGTGTCATTGGCAAGGTAGCCTAAGTGTGTGAGAGAAAATTCGAGCCCAGTCTCCCTTTATAATGGATTTGTCTGATCTACATCAGGGCCTAAAAACTGGAGCGTACTGGAATGAAACGGTAGGGTTCCTGGAAGAAAGAGTCCAGATCTTTAATTTGATGAGCCCTAATTGTGTTAGTCTCTTATTGGTTCGAATGCATCAGATTAGAGGGAGACAATCATTTCCTGTTTACTCAAACCAACCCAAACAGAGAGACAAAGATTGGCTTTCACTGTTACTGTTGTTGTTGTTTTCCTGAGGGCCTTTTCAGTCTCCTAGCAGACTGTGCGTGCTTGTGCGTCAGGGCTCGAATTCCCCGACGGCATCGGCGGCCATGGCTGTCGATGCCCTCTTGTGTGGCAGTAATGCCCTCTATGAAAATGTATCCCTTGCGGCCAAAGTGGCCGTTGGGCATATATATACAGCTCTGGAAAAAATTAAGAGACCACTGCAACTTTTTCTTAAATCAGCATCTCTACATGTATGACAGCCATTCCATTCCAGTGTCTGTTGAATTCCAACACAGGCACACCTCATTCTACTGAATTAGGTACTGATTAGGTGATCGCCTGAACCAAATCTTATTTAACAAAGAAAAGTATAAAAACCACTGCTGTGGTCATCACTATCCTCTTGCAATAGGACCAGAATGGATGGCAAAAGTAATATTAATCAAAAAATAACTATTGACCATGCCAAAAGAGTTGAAAAGGAAAGTTTTGAGTGAGGAGAAAAGAAGGGTTAATTCTGGCTTTACTGGCCAGAGGGATACAGTGAGCGTCAGGTTGCTTCCATTCCTAACATTTCAACGACGGCCAGTTCATAAGAACAAGGTCAACAGCCAGACATTGGGGACAACAAAGCTACAGACCGGCAGAGGGCAAAAACGAGACTCTACTGACCAGGATGACCGCCAAACTCATTCGAATGTCACTCAACAAACCATAGGATGACATCAAGTAACCTACAAAAGCATGGCAAACGGCAGCTGGGTGAAGTGCCACAGCGAGGAGGTTCGAAAAGGCTCCTAGGGGCAGGCTGAAGTTGTGCAAAGCTAAGAAAAAAGCCCATCATCAATGAGAAAGCAAAGAAGAGCCAATGGCTGAGGTTTGCAAAATACCATAAGGATTGTACCGTAGAGGACTGGAGTAAGGTCATCTTCTCTGATGAGTTCCAATTTTCAGCTTTGCCCAACACCTGGTAATCTAATGGTTAGACGGAGACCTGGAGCAGCCTACAAGCCACAGTGTCTAGCACCCACTGTGAAATTTGGTGGAGGATCGGTGATGATCTGGGGGGTGCTTCAGCAAGGCTGGAATCGGGCAGATTTGTCTTTGTGAAGGACGCATGAATCAAGCCACATACAAGGTTGTCCTGGAAGAAAACTTGCTTCCTTTTGCTCTGACATTGTTCCCCAACTCTGAGGATTGGTTTTTCCAGCAGGACAATGCACCATGCCACATAGCCAGGTCAATCAAGGTGTGGATGGAGGACCACCAGATCAAGACCCTGTTAATGGCCCAGCCCAATCTGCAGACCTGAACCCCATTGAAAACTTCTGGAATGTGATCAAGAGGAAGATGGATGGTCACAAGCCATCAAACAAAGCCGAGCTGCTTGAATTTTTGCTCCAGGAGTGGCATAAAGTCACCCAACATCAATGTGAAAGACTGGTGGAGAGCATGCCAAGACGCATGAAAGCTGTGATTTAAGAATATTGATTTCTGAACTCTTCCTAAGTTAAAACAGTATTATTGTGTTGTTTAAAAATGAACATTAACTTATTTCTTTGCATTATTCGAGGTCTGACAACACTGCATCTTTTTTGTTATTTGACCAGTTGTCATTTTCTGCAAATAAATGCTCTAAATGACAATATTTTTTTGGAATTTGGAAGAAATGTTGTCAGTAGTTCATGGAATAAAACAAAAATTATAATTTCACCCAAACACATACCTATAAATAGTAAAACCATTGAAACTTATATTTTTGCAGTGGTCTCTTAATTTTTTCCAGAGCTGTGTATGTATATATATATATATATATACACAGTGGGGAAAAAAGTATTTGGTCAGCCACCAATTGTGCAAATTCTTCCACTTAATAAGATGAGAGAGGCCTGTAATTTTCATCATAGGTACACGTCAACTATGACAGACAAATTGAGAAAAAAAATCCAGAAAATCACATTGTAGGATTTTTTATGAATTTATTTGCAAATTATGGTGGAAAATAAGTATTTGGTCACCTACAAACAAGCAGATT